GTCGGTGATCGCCTTAATCTTCTCTGGATCAGGGCGTACGTCGTTCTTTCCGACGATGCACCCAAGAAGTGGTATTTCGCTAGCTGCGATTATACACTTCTTGAGGTTGGCGTACAACTTATGCTCGCGCATAAGTGTAAGAACCTTACGGACGTGGAGTCTATGGACTTCCACGTCTGTATTCCCGTCCATAGCTCGACTATGGACGAACACATCATCGAAGTAACTCGGTGCGAATTCGCGCACCGGTCTCAATAGATGTGAAACACATCTATTGAATGTGTCTGGTGCATTACTAAGCCCTTGCGGCATCACCAACCATTCCCAGAGCATACCACTGGGAGTGCTCACTGCTGTGTAAGGGATGTCCCGTTCACGCATTAGGATCTGATAGAAACCATCCATCAGATCCATGGACGAAAAGATGGTACTCTTAAACATACCATCTATGGTTACGTCCTTTCTCGGTATCGGCGTTTGGACCAATATCGTTGCAGCATTCAGCTTGTTGAACGCGTGTACTATCCGCCACCCTCTTGTGGCCTTGCGCACACAGAAGGTCGGAGAGCTGTGAGGTGAGGTTGACTCCCTCACATGGCCCGCTGCTAGGCGATCGGCAAAGAACTTGTCGATCGCCTCTACCTGTTCCCGAGGCAGTGGCCACTGCTTCATGACACAATATTTTGTGCCAGGAACAAGGTCGATCTCGTGTCGAGTACCTTTATCCTTAGGCAACTCGCACGGAACGGATTCAGGGAATACATCCTTGAATTCGACCAAATCCTTATACAAAGGATTTGACTTCAGTGACTCCCAGGATTGCGATGTATATCGCTCAATCCGAGTCTTCTAATCAAGGACACTCTCGTCTATTGATGAGCTGCTGAGAACCCGTTCGTTCTCGGCAAAAACTGTTGCTGACCGAATGTCAGTCATGTACTCGTCCTCTGCGACGAGCACACAGATCTGCTTGACATTGCCACTACGCAGATCACGCAAGAATCTTTTAGGTTCTAGCGTAGGCAACTGAGTTATCTCCGAAGTTAACTTCGGAGGCGCGATCAGATCAAGCATACAAGCGCCTACGTTTGATCCGTCATTAACCAAGACGTACAACGTCTCGGTTACTTCCTGGGGACTTATTCCCTCAGGGCACTGGGGACTTATTCCTCTCTCAGTTATTATTTCCTGCGGACTTATTCCCGCAGGCTCGATAGAACTTGTTCCATCGACTTCCTCTAGCTGTGGTGGAGCAACCACAGCGAGATCCTCTACGATCAACTCTCCAGTTGATCTAGGATTACCGTGCTGCCGCTTCTGGGCAACCGGTTTACTCTTCGGTGAATGCTGCCCTCTAGGCGAGCATTCATGTCCCGGTCCACTCGACTTATTCGAGTGGTGGACCTTCGGCGCTGCCTGTGCTTGTGCACGCTCGCCGGCAGCTTGCTCCACAGCGTGACTGTCTGTCACGCTGAGTTTTTGTGCAGTCGTACTAACGTCCGAACCACAAGTGAGGCCATCACACTCACTCGTAGAACATTCACACGCTTGTGAACTCTCCAAGACGTTCATCAGATGGCCATCTGATGAACAAGCGGTAGGCATCTTCACGGTTCGATGCTGCCAGCTGACCCATGGCTCGTACCTTCTGAGCCATGGTAATCCTAGGATGACATCAAATTTGTCATCCAGATGAAATCATCATCTTACTTTTTGCCTTCAAGCGTGTAGTGAATTCCCACTACACGTTTCTTTACTGTTACGGATGCGTCCGTTGCAAGGCGCACCGTAATCCTCGTTGGAGGGGTCTCGCGCTCAACATATTTGAGCCTACGATCATCTAGCGATTGGCGTCGAACAAAGTTGCTCGAAGCCCCACAATCAACTAGGGCGCGAAGTGACATGTTCTTTGTCACTTCGATCTTCAATGTGATGAGGGATACCTCATCACTGGGAGCGGCAACACACAGTGACTGTGTGTTGGGAGCAACCTTCGTCAAGAGTCCCGCGAACTCTCTTGACGTTGCTGGATCAGAAGGGCGCTCCGCCCCTACTGACCCCGACCGCTTTTTGATGGTCCACCACGTTGTTGCGATTTCGCAGCAACGTGGGACCCACGTCTCTGGCCCTTCTTGGCAGACGGTCGATCGTCACTCCCAGTGTTACGAGACACTGGGCGTGGGGCGCTACACTCATAAGCGTAGTGGACCAACTTCTGACAGCGATTGCACTTTTGCAATCGCTTGTACCCTGGAGAGCGAGGTCGCTCGCTCTCTACATAGGAGAGGTCCATTGGCTCTGGACCTCCGCCGTCCTGTCGTCTCGGTGGACGATAGGATCCCGAGTGGACGTGAGCCTGTTGTAGGCTAAAGTCCTCCTGTTCCGCTGCAGAGATCGCTTGATCCAGCGATTCTAGTTCCAAGTGGAGCAGGTGGGTCTTGACAGGACCATCTGTCAGACCCTTGATGAACACAGTTACTTGCGTGTGTTCATCGATTGGTTTCAGTACGATACAGCTAACGAGGTATCGTACGTGCTGGGCGAAAGCGTGTATATCACGCTTACCATGTTTCAAATCCAGGAGCTCAGCCCGAGCCCTGAATTCGGCGCGAGGCGATTCAGACATGTGTTTGAGCCGCGCCTTGAAGACTTCATACGTTGGGAAAACGTATGGGTCGTGCAGTTTGAGCCCTAAGGCCCAAGCTTTGGCACGTCCTGCCAAGTTCGACATGGCGAACTTGACCTTCATCGCATCGTCATCGATGCGACGAGCCTCAATGGCATCGTCGAGCTCGACGAACCATCTTAACAAGGAGTCGCTTTCGACTGCCTTGTACTTGGAGACATCAATCTTCAAGGACTCGGGTCGACGTGTATACGCCGACCCGGCAGCAAAAGCACTAGCCTGCTGTTGTCTCAACAGTTCAGACTGTTGAGCACCCTGATGCATCAACAAGTCAGCTTGTTGAGCGCCTTGTTCTCTCAACAGTTCAACCTGTTGAGAACCTTGCTCCTCTAGCAAGGTGAATTGTAGGAACTTGGCGATGGTTGCATGTTGGTCGTCTCCGCTAAGAGAGAGCAACATGGCACCAACGGCAGGGTTGCCGAGGGTTTCAGCCATACGCTGAACCGCATTCCATTCGAGATCATTCAAATGGCGGAAATCATCACGCGTTGCGTGATGACGTTCATCACCCGCTGATTCCATAGCGGATAGTGTGGTGGTCGCTGAACGGACCACGAAGTGCTACCAGGTGTAATGGGGCACCCTCCGACTATACCGATTACAGTATAGTCTACTTTTACTGATTACAGTGAAAGCAGGTGCCTCAAAACCTCACGTACACGTGAGCAGAGGAAGCTTTACTTCTAAACGATACGCTTAGAAGTAGAGGAAAAGAAAACTGTATTTAATATAGTTAACTACCTAATAAAACTAATCTGTTATAACCTATGTTAACTATATTAAACTACAACTATGTATGTTGACAACTTGCCCTCCACTCATTGCGCGCGTCCATCGGTCATTGGTCAACGTGTTGGTTGATATGATGGCCCATATCAACCAATGATAGGGCATCTCCAACTTCAAGGAGATCTAGGATCAATATTATAAGAAAAGGTAATATTGTCAAATATTATTAGTTATAATAATATTTTTATTGACACTTCATATAAGTGTCAATATCATGTAACGGGCTCACCCCGTTACAGTATCCATTGCAGAAGTTGCCGCCCAACAGCATTCAACAATCGACACACTTGGTTTTGAAGATATCTCACAATGGAACACACAGAGCCACGTACCAATCAGAAATATGCCAAACGCACCAAGGTGAAGAAAACTGCATCCACGAATTGAAAATGACAGGAAACTCGTAGGCTACTTATACTTGATGATCAATAAATAATGAATGAGTGAGGCGTTCAGTTGGCTGGTTCCTCGTCGCCGCTATCCGCTTGCGTCAGGTCGATCTCCTCCGCGATTTCTTCTTCATCGTCGCGCTCTACGTCTTCACTACGCTGGTCCTCCTCGGGTGGAGCTGCGCCGCTCTCTTTCCGTCTTCGTTAAGTGCTGGACGCCACCATACTCGGGTGGATGATCTTCCCGGCCACCACGTAGGACAACCTTCTGACTCCCCCTTTCCGGCGTCTTCTTGACTACCCCAGTCGGTCCTTCCCGCGTTTTCGCCGAGCTGCTAACTCTTCTCGCGTGTCGATGCCTGCTGTGTCCGGCCGCAGCGCCATCGCGCGCTGCGCCAGCCCAAAGTTCTTCTTTCACTACTTCATGACCCGGGAGCGTACTTGAACCGCCGCCCCGTACTTCCGGTTCGTCGGGCAGTCAACTTCTTCAGGCTCCTTCGGGACTACGTCGGCAGGCGGTGGCCACTCGGTCGGGGTATACTTCGTCCAGTTAGGCATGATCTGCATGCTCCTGCTTCCTTCCTCTTTTCCGTTATTGCTCGCCATTCTTCGTCTTCGGTGTCTTCTTCATCGTCGTCGGCGTTGTGTGGTTGGCTTGGTCTTCGTTGTCGTGGCGGTTCTTCGAGCGTGTTGGTTTTCGTATTTATTGTATGATTTGGCTCGGCCTCGGATTCAATTCGTATATTTACGATTACCTATTCTAGGATTCCTATTTCTACACTACTCATAACACTATATAAAACTTGTTTCAACAAGATCGGTCGTTGCTCTGGCAAGACAATCCCCAGCCGCATGCTCTTGGGCAAAGACGCGGTGGAAATCGGAGATATGCCGTGTTGCAAGCATACCGTCGCGAATTCGATAATTGGGCTGCACTGGTAGCCTCGATGGACCATGACGACATTTTCTACAATGCGAAGCTGGAAATAGGCGCTGGAGATGCTGCGTAGACTTTATCTAAAGACGAGTGGATAAACCAAACAAGTTTGTGGATCCGAAAGAATGTTTTGTTATTTTCTGATCTTGCCAACCCTTTCCAATCTACAAGCTATCGACATCTTCGCTGCTGCTTCAATTTAAGCACTTGTAGTTGTACTGTTCTCTTCTGCGACGGAGCATTTCGGCAGAACGCCTTTGGCGGTGAGATCCTCAATAATCGCTTGCGATGGAATAGCTCCATTTAAGCAATCGCCGCAGTGATGCATCGCAATGACCTTATTGTCACTCGTGGCAAGAATCGGCGACCCTGACGACCCTTCTTGCGTGTCCACGTAGTAACCCACGTCGTTTTTACGACATCCCGTGACGGTGAGAGACTCGACACGACCAGGTTGACCATTATGTAGCCACGCGATGCGTTTGCCATACCCCAACGGATGTTGCGGGATGTAGATGTTCTCTTCAAGGACAGCTCCTGAGCCACGGAGCTGCAGATAGCCACCCGTCTTCTCATACAAGCCAGCATAATCTGCAACACTATTGTTGATATCAAGTCGAACCACCGCATAATCTAACGCTTCTGACACAGCTACAAGTGTTGTAGACGTCACGCCAACTGACCCTGGACATCCACCCCGAGTATCACAATCCTCGCTATCTTCCACAACTGGTTGCTTGAGCGAAAAACTCCACCTTTGTATTGATCGCGTCTTCTGTACTGCCGATACAGTGCTGGTTCGTGATCAAGTGGCCGTCGCAACCAAGCAGCCAGCCGGTGCAGTATGCAATTAACATGCCATTCTCTTTGATGATTGAAAGTCGAGCCACGGAGTGCGACTTGGCCAGCATGACTGCTCCTTCCGCACTGTTCGTAGCACTGGGCGCACAAGCAGCTTCTACAGATTCGTCTGCGCCACAGACACTTTCCTTATTGACGCTGTCGTCGTCGTCGTCGCTGTCTGTCATGTTGGCACGGTTGGCCAAAGGCACTTTGACAGCTACTTGCCGATGCTGAGCCTCATCTACCAGCTCTTTCGGAGAAAAGAGCAGGCCATCAACGGCAAAGCCTCGACACGAAGTCGAATTGGTCGTGTCCGGAACTGATGACTTGAAAAGCTCCAGCTTCACTCCATCTCCCGATATCGCAGTAGAGTAAAACGTTCCCGTTGCGTTCTTCCCCGCTAGTATTGCCACCGGTGGTGTCGTAATCGGATCATTAGACGCTCTCAATACCAGTACGTCGGTTTCTGGTAGATTGAATTGCGTGAAATGCAGTAGGTAGATGCCCTTCCCGAGCCCAGGGTCGAGCTTGAGGAGATAAGAAGGCTCTTTTCCAATCGCTATTGGCAGTGTTGAGTAGTTGGAAAACTTGCACCCGGCACCGATAAGGATTTCCACTTGTTGACCTGTTGTCTGTGCGACGACATCAACAGTTGCAACAGCAGCTAGAAGGAGTGCAAAAGCCCACTGCATCTTGAGAAAATGGAAGGAAGCAAATTTGAGAGTGTCGTGATGCTGTTTGGTTGTTTTACCATTTCGTTGTTGATCATTACGAAGTGATTGAAGGGAGAAGCTTTTTGTGTTTCAAGACTGAAGTGGTAACTGTTCAAATGGATGGTTTGTTCCTCCTCTTCATCTAGCTAGAAACAATTAGGTAAAGAGCTTCTGCATCATGCACTCGTTAAGATTAATCTATCCGTCTATTTATGATGGATGGCGTTTTGATTGAAGCTTGAGAATATACTAGTGTAAGGGATCTTACTAATTATATATTCGTAAACTATATTTGGAAAGGCAAATGTATTTCTTGATAGAAGCTCCATTGAATCAACTGATTGCAATGCATTTCATCTTTCGACTTCTGTACGAATAATGACGTTGCACATTGTCAGTAAATAGAAGCAAGTGAAGGAGCTGCTCTGACCCCTGAAGCTTTGATCTTTTCCTTTCATGTAGCATTTTGTATCCATTGCAGAAGTTGCCGCCCAACAGCATTCAACAATTTACACGCTTCGTTTTGAGATATCTCACAATGGAACACACAGAGCCACGTACTAATCAGAGATACGCCAAACGCACCAAGATGAAGAAAACTGCATCCACGAATTGAAAATGACAGGAAACTCGTAGGCTACTTTTACTTGATGATCAATTATTGATGAACGAGTGATGGAGTTACTCGTTTGTAGCTTTCTGTAGACAAGTCAACCCGCTCAAAGAGGCAAGACCAGTCAGCAATAAAGTCCTGGTTAGCGCAGAAGACGTGTTTCTTGCTTTCCTCTAGTGACGAGTCAGACATTGAGAAGTCAAATAAAAGCAAATTACAATGCCATAAAAGGTTTAAAAGTGAAAACAACCAAGCGATTCTTTCGCAATGTAATGTTTCTTAGCATTTGTAGGTGAGTTCATGATGGCGTCTGTCCTAACAGCTCTTAGCGATAACTTGTCGTCAAGGCCTCTACCATGAGCTGTGTCGTCTTCGCTGACACTGGTTGCTTCTTGTACGTAAATCGTCAACAACTTCTCAAGCGTTGCAAAGTTATTGATCGGACTAGGCACAAAGCCCTTGCCCAGAAGGATTTGATGAAAGCATCAGGTTCGCTTATGCCGCGAGGTGCCACTTTCTGCCGAAGAGCAAGAGAGAAGCTGGCGAGGAGCAATCTTTAGCCATCAAAGCAAAGAACTCTGATCGCACACAATTCTTCTCTCGTAAAAAGGACTTCTTGCTTTCATATCACGACCAACCTATCACGTAAAGCTGGCGGCTCCAAGGTGTGGCTTGTGACTGCATGCTCCTCGGGTTCCGGCAAGGAGATCGTCCTCGCGGCGCTTGCTCGTGGAGACCGTGTCATTGCCACTGCTCGTGACGATAGCAAGCTTAATATATTGTGGGCCAAGGAGATCGCGCTCTGGCATTAGATATGACAGTAAATGATATGAAATCAAAAAAATGATCGCTGAAGCTCTGCGCTTCTATGGTACCATCGACATCCTCATAAACAACGCGGCTTTCTTGCTCGGCGGAGCTATCGAAGAATGCTCGGACGAGGAGGTGTATCAGCTATTCAACACCAATGTGTTCGGAGTATTCCGCATTCTGCGTGCTGTGCTACCTCACATGCGTGCAAAGCGTTCAGGTGTGGTAGCCAACATCGGATCAGCATTTACCTGGACCGGCATCAAGACATTAGGCATCTATGGCTCCACCAAATTTGCTTTTGCTGGGCTTACCTTGGCCTTGCGCACCGATTTGGATCCATTCTGCATCGACGTGACGATCATCGAACCAGGTTCGCTCCGGACGGCCATCTTGGGCAAGGTTTCTTACCCATGACGAACTCCATCTCGGACTACTTGCTGATCACGAAGGCTTTTATGCTGTATCAAAGAATCCTTACGCCTTTCGTCTTCATTTGGAATACCAGATAGGACAGGAGGAGAATAGCAAGGGGCGCTCTCTTAGTGTCTCTAGAGATGAAAACAAGTACTTCACTTTGAACACGACGTTGATACATGACGTTCCTACATTTACTCTTTTGACTATTGCACGAAGTTCGGCGATTTAAGGAGGAACCTCCACTTGGCAAGAGTAGAACGTACTGGTCAAGGAGCAGCAATGGAGCGTAAGATGGTTTTTGTATCTGCTTGGTATCTAGGACCTCTTCGCCGTGCTGACACCAATTGGTCCACCCCACCGCTTGGTTGATAATGTTCAAATCGATTCCAGGGCTCCATTTGAGGCGATGTCTAGGATTTTACAGATCGGAGATCACAATGCCGCTACAAGTTTCAAACACTCAAGAGCAAAAGGTTTGCCTTTGGATGTTAGTAACTTGTCTAAGCGTTTGCAGCTCGCAGCGCAGACCGAAAAGGTGCTTCAAGAGCACTAAGTTCAAATACATAGAAGCGAGGAGATCAGTCGCACATTTGAGCACATCAGCTCTGTCTGTGGCGAAAATTTCACAGTGACGATGACAATGACTACGTGTCGAGACGGCACTTGTGTCTAAGCATCTAAAGCTAATACGAAGCAACAAGTGGTGATTCATCTCGAGCGCATGCAATAGTAAGCCAAGTCGATTAAGGTGGGGTTAAGAGACTTCTTCTTCGACATCGCGTCGGTCATCGTCGTAAGTTTTCATATTCACAGTAGTCAATACTTTTGCAGGGTCACCTCCAACAACCTCGTCTTGTGTGGATCTTGATGGCTACAATAAGGTCTAGGTGCGACGGTCGATGTGTTGGTATTACTGGCAGTTGTCGCGTGTCATCATTGATCTGCTCGCGAACGTTCGTCGTTTTACAGTCAGTCACTTCCCCAGTAGAGTAACGATCCCTTTGTCTGTTGGGGAATATTCTACAGATCCAACGCTAGACAGCAGAACATTCAGACATCAGCAGATACTTAGTACCGAAGTTTAACGGAAGAGAATATTATAGGATACAAGGATGCGTAGATCTATTTATCTTGATCGAGAAATTTCCATGCTTCTTACTTCCGGAGCTAAGATTATCAAGAAACGGACTGCCAAATGACCCGAGACACACTGGATGAGAAATGTTGTCTACAATGCTTGGACAATAGTCAATGAAGCATTTTAGTATTTAACTACAGTTCAGACACCTTTGAAAATAAAATGTAGGTGAATGAAGTTTACGTGTCATCATGAGTCATGCATCATGCATGTAACAGAAAAATACTCGCGATTTTCTAACGTCTTGAAACGATCAATGCAAAGATACTTTGGTCTGAACCAGTCATATAACTTGAACATGAGCTAAGGCAATAAAACAAGTAGAAAGCTATTGCAATTGCAAGGCCAATGTGCTAGTAATGTTCCCATAGATCGGTGCGTGCGATTTGGCTGCGAGCAAAGCATTTCAGCATACAAGGAAGAAGAGGCAGCTAGCGACCTCTTTACGTTGAGATCCCTCTACCCCTGCCTAATGTGACTTTTCGCCTTGTGTTCGATCATTTTTAGCCGCGTCGAATTCCGCCTTCGGGTCGGAATATCATGCACGACTGGTGGAAGCTTTGCAAAAGAGCCAAGTCTGACGCTTGCCCTGCAACTTCCCGAAAACACCTTCGCACGTTGGTTGCGAATAACTAGCAGACAGTACAAAGCGATCAGCATTTTCTCGGGTCAAAACTTTTTACAGGACAACCACACTCCGTTTTGCACCCTTCAGCTGGTAAGCTCGATCTAGGGTCGTTCGGACGTTTCTCGAGCTTTAGGGTCACATCGAGAGGAAAACGTAGGTCTACCAAAGCAGTCCCTGTCAATTTATCCATTCACGCCAACGCCCGAACACCTTTCGATCGCAGAAGGGAGTTAAGCATGGAGCCGTTAAATGGATCGGTAGTGTGGGCAAAGGGATATATGATGTCCACGACGAAGCCTGAATCCGTCATCGACGAAACTTCGGAAGGAAAGGACCGGGGCTGCAGTTGGCCACCAAAGAAGGCCGACTATCATCGCTCGCGGATGACGGTAGCGTGGGGAAACAATAGTGATCTCCCAGTCCGTCAGATGCAGGAACCGCAAGCCGGAGGAGTGCCCCGTTCTGTGTTGAAACGATTGCTGGCAATACCGTCTGCACCTGGTTCACCAATCGGTAGCCCTCGTCGTCGGTGTGCTTCAGCTTCTGTTGTAGCCATGGTGCATAGTCCGAGAGCATTCGCCAGCAGTGAAAAAGTTCATTCGAAAAGCGAGACCCTGCCGCCGATACTGCTTCGTATCAATGGTGCTCTCCAACATTTGCGGCCACGGAATTTGGTAGTTACGAAAGCAGTAGCAACTGCAGCAGTCAATCCAGCAGTCCGATTCCGATCGGTCGATTTTCTGACCAGTTGATCCCGTCAGACGAAGAAGAAGACGAGATTATCGATGAAGTCATGATGCTGCGCCAACAGGTAGCGCTGCTTGTCAAGAGTCTTGAGCATGAGAAAAAGCGTCGCGCATCCGAACAGCACCTCATGCAAAAGGTACATCATCTGCCACCTTGATAGGTCATAGTTTGCCGCGAAGTGGCTGACCCCTTCGTATTGTTACAGAAAATCATCGAGCTTCAAAGCTTGATCCGTGAAAATGGGCATGAGGATGATCACGAAATGGACTTTATGAAGGAGACATCGTCGTCAACGCAGATAGACCTTTTCTCGACACGGGAGAATGAGCTAGAGAACAACCAAACTAGACGATGGTCAGCTCCGGTATATGAAGACGAAGGGGTGGAGTCATTGTCTAGCGGTTGTCTGCAGAAGCAAAAGGATGCCAATGAAGAAGGCGGCTGCACCGAAACACACCCGGCTCCGTGCTCGAATGCACGCTATCGTAGTCAACAGTCAACGCGAGACTCAGTAAGTCCATTAATGCCTAACCAAACGCTAGATGTCATGCGGTAGCTCACTTTTGATCGTACCTTGACTACAGAACACTACGAACCCAATTGGAAAGTGCGAAGCGAAGCCAAACCAAGCGGGAAAACGAGTTCACGCTCGAGACTACAGTCAAAGTCACAGCACTTGAACAAAAGCACGCTGCAGCCGAGGCTCGACTCACGCAGAAAGCTGCAAACAGTGCCGCACAAGTGAAGAAGCTGGAGGCCGAAAAACTGGAGCTCGTCGCATGCATGCAGGTGCAACAAGAGCGTCTGAAGCAGCTGGAGCTTGCTCTTGGTGGTAAGCAGATCGTGGATGACTCTCGGTGAGCGCAAGTCGAAAGGTGTAGTCCACTTGCACCCCTGATTTAAAGTTCTTGCAAATGGTGAATGACAGGCAGCCTCTGCATACTGCGACAGAGCAGGCGCGAAAGTGAGGCCCAGGAAAGAAAGTACTGCATGGACAGGAAGGCATCAAATGACACAATAGAATACAGAGAGGAGAAGCGTCAGTGCGCCGCTACCTGTAGACGATCGAAAGTCTACCTGGATCAGCTGCACTCCGCTCTTCCCTGGCATTCCTAACACACTTTACAGCAAACATCATAGCTGAAGTGATGTGGATTTTACAGGTATGCAACAGCAAAATGCAACAGCAAAGCCTTGCCACCTGATACACACTCGGTCAAACAGCTTGCTCCTTTACCTTATACCAATTAGGCAAGCCGTGGTGACACACAACACAACCAGAACAAACCAATGTAGTTATCGCGTAGAGCCGCTGAACTGGTGGTCGTGATGCGTGGTATATTACGAAGACGCGTTAAACTTCACCCGAATCTCCTCTTCACCCAATAGACCAGCACTTATGGAGTTGATGTTCCCCGTGAAGACACGTCGTTCCCATATGACAGTGTCAAAAAACAGGAACTGCGGCGCAAGTGAGCTGTTTGCTAATGAAGGTCCTGCACCAGACCCCATCGCGCTTCCAATCGAGCCAATACTGCCATTGGCACTCGCGCCTGCTGATGCTCCAGTACTTGTGCCACCAGCCGGCGAGCTTGAATGGCTGCTCACAAGAGAAGCATCAGCTGAAGACGCGCGTTTCAACCAGGTCTTCAGCTCGGCATGGTACCGCCACTCGCGGCTATACAATTCCTGGGCAGCGTAGGCTTGTAACACGTCCTTAGGCATTGAGTAGAAAATGAAGAACAGTGTCTCAAGATGAAACTTGGACAAATGCGTCGTCTTGAGCACCGGTGGTTGATTGTAGTAACATGTCGGCAACGAGAATTGCGGTTCCTTCGTCAACTGCTCCTCAGCCCATGGAGATGCAAATGTCGGATGCAGCGGTCTAGTATAAGGCAATAAGTGACGACGGATTAGTCCGGACCTTTAACAGAAAGTATCTTAATGCTAGAGAACGTACTCTGCCGAGTTAAGGTTTAGTCCGAGGGACGTAAGATCGCAACCCATTGCTAAGTTCTTCCTTGAGTCTCTGCCTGGACGGATGATGGTGTGCAGCATTCCGAGAAGCCCGTACTGGTTGCTCGGGTCTAGCTCGCCATTACTAGTCTTTTCAGTAGCCTGTTTGTCTTGACGCGGCGCACGAAAATGATTGAACGCTTCAGTCCCTAGATTTACGCTGCCGCTAACTCCTGTCCCCATTACTGGCCCGCCGGCACGGCTACCTATCGATGTGCCACCCTTCTGCTGTTCCAGCCGTGAGGACAGCATACCATCTGCAGTCGATGAAGTAAAGCTCGAGTGTCTCTTCAACTCTGCCGATGGTTGCATGGGGCTTTTTTCGCTGGCACCAGGTCCAAACGTCGAGAGCGCAGGAAAGTCTTCCTTCTGAATGACAAACTCGGAGGGTTGGGCCCTCATGCGGTCAGCGACCGAGCCTTCAAAGCTTGATTCCAGTGATAAGGAGCTCATCCTACACAATTCACTTTCTCGTAAGTTTAAAGCTTTACCAGTAGAATTAAAGACAGCAGTTGCCAGTCAATTTACCTGGAACCCAGAGCAGGGAACTCGGACATATCAGGCCCTTTATTCTCTGTCTGCAGCTGAAAACCCCGTCCTGCATCATCAAAGTCTCCCTAAGTCTTTTCAATCTTCTAAAACAGCAACAAACAGGACACGTTTTAGCTCACCAGAGCTGATCCGGTGCAGCTCGTGCGTCGGAGGCATAGCAGCTGCTCCCACTTGCAAGCGTTCGACACCAGCAACACCTAAAAACTAAAGAAGAATCCCAAAAAGCACAAAATTAGTCTAAAAAACTCCTCCCAACAAACTAAAAGAACTGCAACTCACTGAACTCGGTCCTCCTTGCATGAGACCACCACTATAGCTCGAATAGGGGCTATCTAGCTGTACCAAGGTAGATTCTATCATAAATAACATCGTAGCTACAAATTAGCCTCATCATGACTTTAAAACTAGCCTTTTTACGATCTAATTCGGACCTGAAACGTCCATGTCTAAAGGTACTACCCCGAGGCCATTGGCCATGGAATGAAAACTAGAAAGACTCAAGTGTGGACCCCCGCTATTGCTCAATCCGTTGCTTGTATTTAAGTTCTTGGAGTTTGTCAACTCGTCTCGATTGTAGTAATATTGACTAGCGTCAAATTCCTCCTATTTTAGTAATAAAAAAGATAATTTTAAGCTACAAATTAACATTCATATGGAGTAAAAACTACTCACGACGACACACCTTGTCCTCTTCTGTCTGGATATTATCTTTAAAGTATGCAAACTTGTCCTTCGATGGGTCGATCATGGCTACAGCTTCGTATGCCGCTTGGTGCTGCTTTTACTAAGACTGGCATATTATTTGCTGTGATCCTCCCCCTGGTGGTGTGCACCACATATTCCTATGGAATGTACACCACTATATTAAAACTCTAAATGTTGCGATCATTCAGAGTTTTGTAGTTTATTGAAATATTTCAAGCTTTAGGACTGTGTCAATATGAAAAATGAAGATCACATGGTTTTATATAGCACACAGCCGTGACTGCACTTAGGCATCAAAAGATTTCGGCGCCAATATACAAGAAAAGGACACCCTCGTACAGCGCTAGGTGTTACAAGGTGGAACGTTCTAAAGTCAGCATGTGCTTACTCCATCTAGATTTTTCTCTCGAAAGAACAAGCTGCGAGTCATGCTATGTATACTAGAGCAAATTGGATCACTGATCTGTCAGCCTAGTCATCGCACTTTGTTGTCTTCCTCTTTAAGTCAGAGGAAGACTTTAAAGGCTAAAAGCCACTTGGTCTGAAGGAATTGAAGGTTACGGCTTCAAGCCACTTAGTTTTAAGGAGCTATTAAAAATACCGACTGCGAGAGTCTGCCCGTCCGAAGCAACTAGGAAGAGACTGAACAGTCTATCAAGCTGAAAGCTTACGGTTCAAACAACCAAATGCACGAAGTGCTCTAGAGAACACTTCGACAAGGCTTGAACTTTACTCCTCAAAATGAAAAATGAAGTATGTTCATGCTTCATAGAATTAAAATCTATTCTATGTACCGTGCACTTGAGCTAATAGGTATGATTGTAATTTTTATATGCAGAACTACATAGCACCTATCCTGGTCGGGTTGGGGTAACGCCCTCCCGGAAGGCCTGAGCTAGCTTAATGCTAGTTGGGCCTTGGACGGATGCTTCGCGGTATCCGTCAGTTTAGGACGGGCCTCTCTCCCTCTACACACCTCTCTCATGCCGCTCTCACCCCCAGCCGCCAGTCAAGCCGCCAGTCAAGCCGCCAGTCAAGCCGCCAGTCAAGCCGCCACGATGTACGCCGCCACGATGTACGCCGCCACGATGTACGCCGCCACGCCCGAAGTCCCGACGGCATCTCCGCTTAGGTACGCTCGCATATCCTTTGTTCCACGGTGCAAGCAACAAGATACCCTCCCTGGGTAGGACCTGTTGACAAGATAGACATCCAAGGGATCCAAGCAAGAAGCCTACCGCTGGACACCGCCGTCGACTGGCCCCAGACCTGCACCTCCTTTGCCGGTGTGCAAAGGATCGTGCAGCCTGGACGGCCTTCAGCGCGGCGCATATAGCGCGCGCCGCTTAATGGACCCTGGCGAGAGTAAAGAGAAATGTAGAGAAGAGAGCCCGACGCATGCGGAAGTTAAGCCACTTTAGTGGCAAGACGGCTCGCGTAACGCGTTAACATACATACATAGCACCTTGTATAATACGGTACAGTTTTACCGATATCATATTGTATCTTCCATGCTATTTACCTCCGTAAAGAAAAGTATTAATATTGCAGTTTATGCAATATTCATAATTATCCAACTGTGGTGTAAGTTAGATTATCCAGAGATCGCGTAACCCGTTACGCTCTCCACCACAAGACTGAAGTAACCACATAACATCATTCGACACATCCCTCTTTGAGGTAGTGAGCAGCACGAACATCAAACCTATCGGTTGTACAAAGTGCACGCAGACATGACAACCCCTGGCAATGAGTCTGACACTCTTCGTGACCTCATCGAAGAAGGTCTCGATGAAGTGGTGGATTACGAAAGTGACAACAACTTTATGGAGGACAATGAGCCGAAGCATCGGTCACTAAATTGTGATGACTAATTCGTAGCGCAACCAAATCCGTTCCACAGAAGTGGTGCCACAAACACTCTTAATTCGTTGCGCTGACACAACGACAAAAGCGATTGTTACTAATTCGCTCGATGAGTAGCATAAACGAATAATTGTAGAGAAGAAGCCACTTAGATCTAAGGAATTGATTAAACGACTACAAAGTCTACCCGTTTAACGGAACTAGGAGGGTCTTCTAGTCTACAAGCATTGAGCTTAGGAGTTTTGATAACCAACGCACGAAGTGCACAAGAAAAATAATCCAATACCGGCTTTATCTCTACGACTCAAAATGAAGAACTGATTTTATTTATGCATTTAGATTATATGCACAATCCTATTCTAAGTACCCTACACTAGATAAATTTACAATAATAAATATTTTAATATGCCATTGCTTGTATCTGGATATGGAATCATTCAATCATCAGTGTATGTTGTACTTAGTAGTACTGTATCAATTATAAAACTGATATCAATAGTATAAGGTATCACTAATACCTTATAATATCACTTATTCTTTATACCCCCTTTTTAAGGATCGGTACAAAGTATACATTATATGCAATGTAGAAACTTCAGCCGTAATGTACTTTCGGTATGATGTTACAACCATCGTGTAATCCCGTTACACTCTCCCTTACCAGACTGACGTTACACATAACGTCAATCGACACATTGCCTCCAAGAGGGTTGCGAAGTGTACAAACACCGAACGGCTGTTCAAAGTACCACGCACATGACCACGCCTCGCACCGAGTCCGAGACTCTTAACACCCTCTTTTAAAAGGGGTTGAGCACATGGTGGACTACGAGAGCGATAACAACATCATGAATGACGAAGAGGCTAAGCCTAGCTCTCCTGTTGTGGATGTTGACTCTCGTTATGAACCAACCCCAGTTCCCGATCGTGGTGTGGTGGAGTGGGTTCTCAAAATTGTATGATGAGACCCCAAATTACTCACTGTGCCGGACTGCCGACTGTCGGAGGGGGTACCCCGATGCCGCGTATAAACCTTCTCTCACCTTGTGTACCCGTCGGCTGGCGGGTTGCACTCTTCGGAGGACTTGGTGATGATGTAGATGTCTGCCTTGAGGGCGGTAGACCTGGGGGGCCTCGAGTGGATATGCTTCACTCGGTGGGCCGGTAGGTGGCCACTCGATCGACCTTGTCGAGAGTAGACTTAGAGCCAAATTCTTCAGGGCGCTTGTCGTCCCTGGCCTTTTCCTTCTGTTTCAGGGGTATTGACCACCTGACCTTTCCTTTGCTCCCAGACCGTGAGGTGAGGGAGACCGCTTCCGATAGCGGGTCTTGGGGGGGTGTTGCTACTCGAACGAGCTCACAGGCCAAATATATCCTGGAGCTCTATTCGCACTTGAACTTCGCTACACAACTGTCTTCGACGGGGGGCCAAAATTCATCCCTTCCCGGAACAGTGAGTAGCTTAAAGCAAGTTCTTCTTGGGTGACGGAGTCGTACCACGTGGGGTTTAGCTTGCACTTGTGTCTAACCACACGTCTGTCTTCAACGGGGGGGGGGGGCAAATATATCCCTTCCCCGGAACAGGCGTGTGGTCAGACTCGAGTTCCTTTACAGCGCGACGAAGACTTGCCAAGTAGATCGCAAACTGAGTAGTATTTAATATAGTCCTATCCTTTTAACTCCTTTACTCTATCCTTGCCTGAAGCTCTGATTCCTTGCGTCGACTGGTCTGATCCTTGTATTAACTGGTCAGGAATGGCTGAACCCCGAGGGGCCGAGGTCGACTAATGAGGGACCCATGTCTACCAGCGAGGGACCGGGTCAACCAATGAGGGACCAGTTCGACCGACGAGGGACCCAGGTCTACCGATGAGGGATCGGGTCGGTCGATGAGAGACTGGGTCTACCGACGAGGGGACCGGGTCGACCAATGAGGGACCGGGTCTACCGACAAGGAGCCGAGGTCTACTGATGAGGGACCCAGGTCTACCGATGAGGGACCTGTTCGACCAATGATGGACCGGGTCGACCAATGAGGGCCATGGTCGACTCCCTTCGGTACCGGTTAAACAGTACCCTGGTAATGACCTCTCCTTTGTTTGTCTTTCAAATTCTCAGCCAACGGTCGCTTCACTGCGAGGTTCCCTTTATCTCCGGTCCCTTCTCTCTGGTGCGTGGTCCCTTCTCCCTAGTCCACGGCCCCTTGTCCCTTCAATCCAACTGGCCCCTGGGTTCTTCACAATTTAGGAAACCACTTCACCACAGTGGTGTCGCTGACAAACTAACTTAAATGCGCTTAGCGCCTGGCAAAACGTCCACTTTCACCTTTACGAACCCGCTCGACGAGCAACAGGCTCAGCAGTTACAAACGGACCGAGCTCTACACACCAAGCAAAGGCCATGGTCGAACTTAAAGTGCATCTAAACTATGTCTTTTACCCACGGTCCGTTGAAAAGCGTCTCAAAGAGGCCACTGGACATTCGCTGGACATATGATCCTTAGGATCGGAGGCTACTACGTCCGAGGAGCACGCCGCGCGAGCGGCTCATAGCCATAAGTACCTATCAAGACCACCCCAGGCCAATATAAGTCACACCCAAATACGCAAGCGCGTCCCTCCCATGAAGAGTGTTTCTATCTTGCTGTTTGTAGGCGAAACTAAAGAAACGATAATAGCGCTTTGTCCACTAGGCACATCATGTGCGGGGTTTGAGTAGCACGAAAACTTTTTGCGCAAGTACCAGTGTGGTAGACATTTGTCTCGAACGGAAGATGCATTATCAATACGCCAAGCTAAAGGACCGAAGCCACTAGCGGTCGCAACGATCGCACTATGCGTCTACTAGTCAGCACTAAGTTCTTTGACTACCTCTTTAGTCGCGAGCTCGCCCGCTCTCACCATTACTAGTGAGAAGCACCATAAATCGCAACATGACCCTAAACGCGACATTCAAAAACGCCCATGGCGTACAAACAATCTTTCCACAGGAATATCTCAAACTTACATGAGTTCTGTGACTCGGTATACCCTCGCCACTTTACCAGATGCTGGTATTGACCATGGCGGCGACGCTTCGGAAAATGTTTCATCACATGAAACTGAATGTTTCCTTGCTCATTGAAGAATGCCGGTGGACGCCGGTGTATCGGTAAAAGCTCACGCTGAGTTACGATAG